TAACAAAGAATGAAAAGTGTTATTAGAAATTATATCCTTCCTGATGTTTTAGCTGAGGAATGGTCAGACTATGCATATAATTTTCAATTGTCTTTTTTTTGGGGGGAGGGGGATTGCCAGAAATTGAACTCAGCGTACTCAACCACTGAGCCTCTTCCCCAGCCCTATTTTGTGTTTTATTTTGAGACAGGGTCTCACAGAGTTGTTTAGTGCCTCACCATTGCTGAGGCTGGCTTTGAATTCACAATCCTCCTGTCTCAGGCTCCCCAGCAGCTAGGATCACAGGTGTGYGCCGCTGTGCCTAGCTCAATTGTCTTTTTAAAATTCGTATTTCCTACAATATCCATGGTTATGTTTGATAAACTACATTATTTTACAAATATAATTCCTCAAAAATATATTAAAGGGGGCTGGGGTTGTGRCTCAGCAGTAGAGTGCTCACCTAGCATAGGCAAGGCCCTGGGTTCGATCCCCAACACCATATAAAAATAAATAAATAAAGACATTGTGGTCCAACTACACAACTAAAAAATATTTAAAAATATAAAATATTTCTAAATATTTTTGTTAACTTTTAACTTAAAATGTCCTTCATTTCTTCAATTTTATCTACTTATTTAGTTCATATTCCACAGGAAGAGGAGGTAGTGGGATTTGAATAAAAAGCTATAGTTTTGTGTGTRTGTTTGTGTATGTGTATGCAGTACTCATGATTGAACCCAGGATTTTGCCCTGAGCTACACACCCCCACCCCAAAACTATAGTTTTATTTCATAATCATTAGTCTTTATATTTAGTTTTATTAACCTTTTCTTAATCATTATAGTTTTTCTTTCTGCTAGTTGCATAAATTAACTATTTCTTTCTACAGCGTTTATTGTGTAGTATCTAACAGTCATTTTAGATATGTCATAGATACAGAGATGAATAAAATAAAAATAAATGAATAAATTTTCATTTATTCCTGATTTCTAATGCACTAAAGGGATTGTATTCAATGAAAAATTGAGAGTTGCCACTTAAATAATATTTTACAATGCAGAATTAATAATCATGTAAAAACTTTCCATGTGCTTTCAGCAATATGCACCATCATTCATAGTCTGTCTAAAAACCTAAACCTAATCTCAACCTAATTAATTCTCTAGACCTAAGTTCTAATTATAGGGGAAATGAGGGACAGAACAACAGGTAACATCACGAATGAGTGATATACTTTGAGATTAAAAAAAAATCATAAGCATGAAAAGTGGAGTGTAATACCTTAGAAAAGAGAGAATAATTTTTTAAAATACAGTAAGTTAACCTAGAGTGGATTCTGATTAGAAAATAAATAGCTATAAAAACATCAATGGATGAATAGCTTTCAAGAATGTTTTTCTATTGTGATTATCAGGAAAAGTGCATATATTTAAGGGTGAAATGTCATAGTATTTGCAACTTATTCTCAATGCTACAGAAACAATTAATCAATAATCAGATATAAAAAGTTAAAAGAAACAGATACAGCAAATAGCATGAATGTAAACATGAGTTGCTGAATATTTCTTTCAAATTTTCTATATATCAAATAAAAATACAATCACAAATTTAGGAAAGGTCTCCAAGAAGACAATTTACTTCTCGCTATCCCATTACTAAGCCCTACTTTACCTTAAATGGTGAACACAGAATATAAATTGTTGGCTATTAATCAAATCATTATACAAACTAAATCATATACTTTTATTTCCAAAATTTTGTAAAATTTAATGGATGAGAGTCTTTGAGAATGTGTTCTAATTACACAACTAGACTCTTGCATAATAATTAATCAGCAATATAATCTGATAATAACTCATATTTACTGAGTATAAGACCATATGCCACATAATCTTCCAAGGTATGTGTACCACTTTCATCCCATAATAGGGCTATCATGTAGGTTCTTGAGTAGCATTTTATAARTGATGTCTGTAGATGATAATTATCTTTGACAATGACACATGGGGGTAAGGTGTGAGAATAGTACTGATAAGGCTTGCATTATATGATATTACTGCCTATGTGACATTAACAAATTAATTCATAAGTTTTAAGAGTTTATAAATGAGTATTGGAAGGTGTAATGATTTAAAAGTATGTCTGCAAGCCAGGCATGGTGGCACACCCATGTAATCCCAGTGACTTGAGAGGCTGAGGCAGGAGGATCCCAAGTTGGAGGCCAGCCTCAGCAACTTAGTGAGGCCCTAAGCTACTTAGCAAGACTCTGTCTCAAAATAAAAATTTAAAGGGCTAGGAATGTAGCTCAGTAGCAGAGCACCCTTGTGTTCATTCCCCAGTATCATAAACTCCCCAAACACAAAAAATGTCTGTGAATATTTTGACCTTCTTCTCTTTTAAAGGTGAAACTGAAGAAAAGAGACCAGTGGGTAAAAAGGGATAAGGGGAGAGGGAAGGGAGGAACGGAGGTAAAGGAGTGGTACTGAAGAATGAAACTGGTCAAATTATGTTATGTATATGTACCAATATATCACAATGGAACTCACCATTCCGTATAATTAATATATACCATTTAAAAAATGTAGAACCGAATTCCTCTTGAGTGTAGGTTAGATTTATTGTCATGCTGCTTACAAACAGAATATGGCAGAGGTGACTTCCAAACCAAGAATATTAAAAAGATCATTTCTGAGCTTAGCCAACTGTCATGTCACAGGTACACTTAAGAACCATAAGGAGAGCTAGGTGTAGTGRGACATTTCTATAATTCCAGCAGCTCAGAGACTGAGGCAGGAGGATCACAAGTTCAAAGCCAACCTCAACAATTTAGCAAGGCCCTAAGCAATTTAGTGAGACCCTGTCTCAAAAAAAAAGGGGGGGGGGAGCTGGGGATGTCACTCAGTGGTAGCGTGCTCTTGGGATCAATCCTCAGTACCAAAAAAAGGAAGAAGGAAGCATAAGGAGAGGCCCCATTGGAGAGGAAACAAATTGCCCCTGAAAACTTATCAGTCACATAACTAAGCCATCTTTGAAAGCACATTCTCCAGCCTCTGTCAAGTGTTTAGATAACTGCAACCTCTGGAGACACAGGATCTAAACTGCCCAGCTTASTTGCTCTCAAATTCCTGGCTCAACAGAAACTGTGAGGAAAATACATACTTATTGGCAGTTTGGCTACTAATTTTTAGGGAGCTTTGGAATATTAGCATGATATTATCAGATTTTGGTACATTGTCAGGGATACTATTGAAAGCTAGAAGTGTCTTGAAGATAAAGATAACTTTTACTAGGAACCTGGAGAGTTCTGAAGAGGCAATAAGTGAGGACTTATGGAAAACTGAACACTGTTACTAGAGACAACAACTCATTTTTAAGAGTTTATAAATGATTGAGTAAGGTGTAATGATTTAAAAATAAGTCTGCAAGCCAGGCATGGTGGCACACCATGTTATGCAGTAGTAGCAGAAAACCTAGCAAACTCGTTGCATGTGATAACATTAACAGTAGAAAATAATACCTCATCAACTTGGGTAATTTAGCCAAGTAAGCTTCCAAGAGACATGCTGAAGATGCCACCTAGGTTCTTGTTGCTTAAAAGAAAGTATAAGAATTGAGATAAGCTAGGGGCTGAGGTTGTGGTTCACAGGTAGAGCGCTTGCCTAGCACATGCGAGGCACTGGGTTCAATCCTCAACACCACATAAAAATAAATAAATAAAATAAAGGTATGTGTCCAACTACAACTAAAAAACATTTTTAAAAAATAATTGAGATAAGCTAAAGAACAACTAAACAGAAGTGGACCAGGGGACTGCAGTTGTGACTCAGTGGTAGAGCACTTGCCTAGCGTGTGTGAGGCACTGGGTTCCATCCTCAGCACTGCATAAAAATAAATAAAGGTATTATGTCCATTTAAAATTAAGGAATTTAAAAAGAATGCCTTCCAACAATGATGACCGGGACTTGGCACTCTGTATACAATAATTTACATTTGCATAATTTGCTCAAGAAGCTCCCCAATTCTTATTCATTTTACAGCATCATTCTCAGTCCAGAATTTCCTCAAAGATGAGGATGGCTTTTTCCTAGCACTCTCACTGTTCAAATGGATTAGTCAGTTTTTCATTACTATAATGAAATACCTGAGGCAAGTTAGCTTTATAAAGAAAAGAGGTTTATTTACCTCACAGTTTTGGAGGTTCAAGGCATTGCACTGACATTGGCTTAGCTCTTGTGAGGCTGTCATGGCCAAATGTCCTTAGAATGGTGGTACACATAGGAAGAAGAGATCACACTGCCAAGCAAGAAGCCCAGGAGCAGCTAGGGTTATACAGTCCCTGGAGTTTCACAGCCTCTTCTGAGAGGACACCTTCAACTGACATAAGGATCCCCCACTGGGCCCTGCCTCTCTTAAAGGTAGCACTAGCAAACTGGAGACCAAGCTTCTAWCACATGAGCCTTTGGGGGACACTTAGTTCAAACCATATCCAAACCATATAGAATGTAAGAAAGTAACCAGTGTGACTCCTGGGGAACAGGAGCCTGACCCACAGTCAAGCCTTCAGATGATTAATCTCATGAAAACCTCAATGCTCCTGAATTTCTGGCCCATAAAACCTGTGAGAAATATTTATTATTGTGTTAAGACATTAAAATTTGGGGTAATTTGTAACAACCATTAATGTCCAGTAGAGAAGGCTCCCTTTAGTATAAAATTCCGTGCCATGGACGTTGAAGGCATATAGACATGAAGAAATTGGGAATTCTATTTTGTTTTAAATTTGCCAAGAATCAGATATTTCATTAAAACAGAACTGACACTGAAAGCTTTCTAATGTGTCAAGAACTGTATTAAGAAGTCTCATTTGCTAAATACATACCTATAAGACTAATATTTAATCATTTCTCACCAAAGTGATTCGTCCATGCCTATTCTTTGACTTTCACACCTGTATGAATTCCTTGATGTGATTTAAGGGCTGAACCGTATCTAAAGCTCTTCCCACACTGTTGGCACACATAGGGTTTCTCACCGGTATGAATTCTCTCATGTTGAACAAGGTTTGAAGAACGACTAAAGGCCTTACCACACTTCTTACATTCATAAGGTTTTCTACCAGTGTGAATTTTCTGATGTTGTGTAAGGTACCCACACATTTTAAAGGCTTTTCCACATTCTTTACATTCATAGGGCTTTTTATCAGCATGAATACTCTGATGTGCAGTAAGGTGTGAACTACGTCTAAAGGTCTTCCCACATTCTTTACATTCAAAAGGCTTCTCCTCAGTATGAATACTCTGATGTAGAGTAAGATTTCTACAGAAAGTAAAGGTTTTCCTGCATATCTTACACTCATAGGGTTTCACACCAGTATGGATTTTCTGATGTTGATTAAGATATCCATGCAAGCTGAAGGTCTTTCCACATTCCTTACACTCATAGGGCTTCTCATCAGTGTGGGTTTTCTGATGTTGTACAAGGTTTGAGCGAGTACTGTAGGCCCTCCCACACTCCTGACAAACAAAAAGTTTCTTCCCAGAATGAATATTTTGATGCCGGGTAAGATTTCTATATAAGGTAAAGGTTTTCTTACACTCCTTACATTCAAAGCGTTTCATACCAACATGAATTTTCTGATGTTGATTAAGGTATCCATACAAGCTAAAGGCCTTCCCACACTCCTTACATTCATAAGGTTTCTCACCAGTATGAGTTTTCTGATGTTGAAAAAGTTTTGAGCCAGTAGTATAGGCCTTTCCACATTGCCCACATTCAAACAGTTTCTCACCAGTGTGAATATTCTGATGTCGAGTAAGATTCCTATACAAGGTAAAAGTCTTTTTACACTCCWTGCATTCATATGGTTTCCCACCTTTATGAATTCTCTGATGTAGTACAAGGTATGAGGCAGTGGTATAGCCCTTCCCACATTCTTTACACTCATATGGCTTTTTGCCAGTATGAACACTCTGATGTACAATAAGCTGATGACTTCTTCTAAAGGCCTTTCCACATGTCTCACACACATATGGTTTCTTGTTAGTATGAATTTGTCTATGTTCAACAAGGTTTGAGCACCTACTAAAAGCCTTCCCACATTCCTTACATTTATAGGGTTTTTCACCAGTATGAATTCTCTGATGAATTTTTAGGTGTCCACCTTGACTAAAGGCCTTCCCGCATTGCTGACACTCATAAGGCTTTCCACCGGTGTGAATTCTCTCGTGTTGGGCAATGTGTGAGGAATAAATAAAAGCCTTCCCACATTCCCTACAGTCGTATGTTTTCTCACCAGTATGAAATCTCTGATGTACAGTAAGTTGATAACCACTTTTAAAGTTTTTCTCACAGTATGTACATTCATAAGGTTTCTCACCAGTATGAAATCTTTGATGGAGAATAAGTTGATAGCTGCTGCGGAAGTTCTTCCCACACTCTTTGCATTCATAGGGTCTCTCAACAACATGAAACCTATGATGTAGAATTAATTGGTAGCTACTCCTAAATTTTTTCTGGCATTTCTTACATTCATAGAGTTTCTCTCTGCTATATATGCTCTGATGTTGTGTAGAAGATACATCTTTCTCATAAGTGGGCATTTCTAGATAGCTGATTATCTCGCATTGTAAACCCCAATCTGAAATAAGAAAACAAAAAATATTTTTATTTCTGTATCAGATGACATAAAACATGTATAAAAGAAATAAGCAACATTCCTAGTAAGTGAATGGCTCACAAAAAATCTAAAAACACAATCAATGAAGTGTGAAGAAGGCCAAAAAGAATTCAGAGATGTATGGGATTGAATATCAGATAATGAAGTTACTGATCAAGGAAACAGGCAATGTTAGGGTGTGGGTCAGAATTTGTAACAGACTTGTTATAAATCTGCTATCTTGGCACTATTAGAGACCAAATGAATTATAATTCAGAAGAGGAAAAACTTCAGCATCTTTATTTAGAATCTATCATTAATTTAGATTCAATATTTAAGAATTCATCCTTTTTAAGTTTTTAAATTTTTTTTGAGAGAGAGAGAGAGAGAGAGAGAGAGAGAGAGAATTTTTAAAAAATATTTATTTTCTAGTTATTGGAGGACCCAACATCTTTGTTTGTATGTGGTGCTGAGGATCGAACCCAGGCCACATGCATGCCAGGCGAGCGCGCTACTGCTTGAGCCACATCCCCAGCCCCATCCTTTTAAGTTTCTTTAGTGATTTCTTTTATTCTTAGAATAAAATTCACATAATAGCCTCAAATAAAATAAAATACCTGGAAATCAATCTAACAAAAGAGGTGAAAGACCTCTACAATGAAAACTATAGAACACTGAAGAAAACCTCAGAASATGGAAAGATCTCCCATCTCCTGGAGAAAGGCAGAATTAATACTATCAAAATGATCATACTACCAAAAGCATTATACATATTTAATGCAATTCCTATTAAAATCCCAATGACATTCTTCATAGAAATATTTGAAAAAATAAGAGCCAAGAATAGCCAAAGCAATCTTTAGCAAGAAAAGTGAAGCAGCAGGCATCACAATACCAGACCTTAAACTATACTAYACAGCTATAGTACCAAAAACAGCATGGTATTGACACCAAAATAGACTTGTAGACCAATGGTACAGAACAGAGGACACAGAGACAACACATAAATGTGGTTATCTCATACTAGACAAAAGTGCCAAAAACATTTGCTGGAGAAAAGATAGCCTATTCAACAAATGGTGCTGGCACAACTGGAAATTCAGGGGCTGGGGATGTGGCTCAAGCGATAACGCACTCGCCTGGCATGCACGGGGCGCTGGGTTCAATCCTCAGTACCATATACAAATAAAATAAAGATATTGTGTCCGTGGAAAATTAATATTAAAAAATTCTCTCTCTCTCTCTCTCTCTCTCTCTCAAAAAAACTGGAAATTCATATGTAGCAAAATGAAATTAAACTTTTATTTCTCACCATGCACAAAAATCAACTCAAAGTAGATTAAAGACCTAAGCATTAGAACAGAGACCCCGAGCTTAATAGAAGAAAAAGTAGGCCCAAATCTTTAACATGTCGGCCTAGAATATGAATTCCTTAACAAGACCCCAAAAGCACAAGAAGTAAAATCAAGGATCAATAAATGGGATGAATTCAAATTAAAAAGCTTCTTCTCAGCAAGGAAACAATAATGTGAGGAGAGAGCCTACAGATTAGGAGAAAATCTTTACCACATGCACCTCTGATAAAGCATTGATCTCTAGGATATATAAAGAACTCAAAAGACTTAACAAAAAACCAAATAACTCAATCAATAAATGGGCTAAGGAAGGGAACAGATACTTCACAGAAGAAATACAATTGATCAACAAATATATGAAAAAGTGTTCAACATCTCTAGCAATTAGAGAAATGCAAATCAAAACTACACTAAGATTTCATCTCCAGTCAGAATGGCAATCATCAAGAATAGAGGCAACAATACATGTTGGCGAGAAGAGAAAAACTTCAGCATCTTTATTTAGAAAAAGGTACACTCATACATTGCTGGTGGGACTACAAATTAAAACAACTACTATGGAAAGCAGTATGGAGATTCCTCATAAAACCTGGAATGGAACCAACATTTGACCCAGCTATCCCACTCCTTGGTGTATACCCAAAGGACTTAACATACTACAGTAATGCAGCCATGTCAATGGTTATAGCAGCTCAATTCACAATAGCTTAACTATGGAAMCAACCTAGGTGTCCTTGAATGGATGAATGGATAAAGAAAATGTGGTATATATTCAATGGATATTACTCAGCTTTAAAGAAGAATGAAATTATGGCATTTGCCAATAAATGGATGGAGCTGGAGAATATCATGCTAAGTGAAATAAGCCAATCCCAAAAAGCCACAGGCYAATTGTTTTCTCTAATATGTAGATGTTAATTCACAATAAGGTGGGGGACACTAGAGAAGAAGAGTGTTACCTTAGATTAGGTAGAGGGAAGTGAAGGGAGGGAAGGGGAAGGGATGTGGGGATAGGAAAAATAGTAGAATGAAACAGAGATTATTACTTTTTGTATATATGTGACTGCATGACCAATGTGATTCTACACATTTTCTAAATGTGAGAAATTATATCTCATCTATGTATGATAYATAAAGTGCATAAATGCATTCTACTGTCATATATAACTAATTAAAACAAATCTTAAATTTTTAAAAAAATTAAAAAAGAACTTAAATGAAAAAAAAAAATCAAATCCCTCCCTTTCCAAGCAGGTCAGCAGGACTCCTGATACGTGTCAAAACAGCAACCTGTTTGTTCCCTATATTCTACCACATTCCCTCTTTTGTCACTTAGAAAACAGTACAAATTTCCTCCTTATTAATGCTTTCTATGGATGGTTTAATCTTCCAAGAATCCTTGACACTTTGTAGATTGGATTTTTCTCATTCTTTAGGTCCCAGGATAAATGGACATGGACATCACAGAAGCAGGATGGATGCTCACAAAAAAGACTGAAGATGCCACATGCATACACCAAGAATATGTGAAAAGGTTTACTACATGCATAATGAGGTTTTCTAGAGAGGGCAAGGTAGTTTCCAAGAAGTTGAAAAATAATTGAGACTGGTATGGAGTTTTTATTGATGCTTAGGGTATGGTGCTGAGCTGAGAGCTCCTACAGGTGGGAGGGGGCTTGCGTGGTTTGGAACTGCCTCCTGGAACCAAAGAAGAGAGCACCTAGGTTTTTAATCAGATGATCCATAAAAAAGAAAAAGGGGTTAAAAAAAAAAAGAGGAACAGGTCTTGAAAGTTAACAGCATTCAAAAATCAAAGAGTCAGATTCTTGGGRCTGAGGCTGTAATCAGTGGTGGAGTGCTTGCCTCTCATGTGAGAGGCACTAGGTTCAATCCTCAGAAACACATAAAAATAAATAAATAAAGTTACAAAAAAAAGTCAGATTCTTTGTTATACTACTGAAATAGTGAAATGAGAGAAATACAGACAGGTAAAAAGAAAACACTACAATTCAAAAAGTACATTAATCAACTACAATGCTTAGAGAAAAAGCTGTTACCTCAACATAATTAAATAAACAATTGATGAAAAAAATCTAGAAAAGCCAACAAAGTAAACTAAACAAAAGTAGAAGGAATAGAGATAAATCAGTATGTAATGAATTCTGGAAAAGAATAAAACCAATTCAAATAAAAAAATAACCTTTAAAAGAAAAACAACTGCAATCTAAACATAGTGAAAAAGGAGAGAGGGAAAAAATTTTTAAATTACACTTAAAATTTTGATTAACACTGACATCTCAATAATGTCTACGTGTAAAGAATAAGCCTAAAAACAGAAAGAGTGAGTTATGGGGCAAGGCAAATAGTTCCATGATATGGTATATTCTTAGCATATGCTGAGMTTTGGGTTCAATTCTTTTTTAAAAAATTTTTTTCTAGTTATAATTCGACACAATATCGTTACTTTTTATTTTTATGTGGGGCTGAGGATCGAACCCATAGCTTCACACATGCTAGGCGAGCACTCTACTGTGAGCCATAATCCCAGCCCCTTTGGGTTCAATTTCTAACTCTCCTCCCACAAAAAGAAGACTTATAAAATTGCTCACAAACATATTAGTATGCAAGTAAATTTGAAAATACAGGTGATATTAATAATTTTCTAGAAAAGTATTTGATCAAAACTGACCCTATAAAAAGTTAAAAAGCAGCCTAGTGCAGTGATGCACACCTGTAACCCCAGCTGCTTGGGAGGATAGGGCTGTGGATGTAGCTCTGTAGAGCACACCTGGGTTAAATGTCCAGTACTGCAAGGAAAAAAATAAAAGACAAAAAGCTTTAACAAATTTCCATAGGAAAAGGTAAAAAAAGTCTAGCAATAATCAACACCCTGATCCTTTAGATGATTGTCTTTCCATATTCCCCACTAGTATAAAAATCTTTATCTTTATACATACTCCACTAAAATAGGATAATATCCTTGTATCTTTGAATTATCTTCTTAATAAACACTAATATCTGTTTCTCTGACTAGTCTCCACTAATATCAGAAAATTCTTCAAGAAATGTTTGATTTCAAGAATGGAACCAAGTAAGATACAAGATAAATCTTGGAATCTTAGGCTAAAAAGTAAGGAAAATTAAAAGATTTATGGCTTTTTAAAAAAACGTGTCTGGATATTGAGCTGAGTATACTGATTATGTGGCATTAAACACATTAAGCAAATGAAAAATGGATAAATCCATAATTATTTTTGGAAAACAGGAAACATTATTAAAATTTTTTKGGTAATTTTTTTGTATGCCTTTATTTTATTTGTTTATTTTTATGTGGTGCTGAAGATCGAACCCAGTGCCTCATGMATGCTAAGCAAGCGCTCTGCCACTGAGCCACAGTCCCAGCCCCAGAAAACATTTTCAATACATCAAATACATCAAATACTTGATGTAATACATCAAGTCCAATACATCAAGTCAATAATAGAAAAATCATATATATTTTCCTTCCCTCCAACATACTTGTTTCAAGGTAACCAAATAGCTTCAGTTGATCATTTCAACAAAAAAACTACAGGGCTGGGGCTGGGGCTCAGTGGTACCACACTTCCTGGCATGTGTGAGGCACTGGGTTCAATTCCTAGCACTGTGTATAAATAAATAAAAATAAAAGGTCTATCAACAACTAAGGAAATATTTCTTTAAAAATGGAGGGCTGGGGATGCAGCTCAGTGGTGGAACACTTGCCTAGCACATACAAGGCCTCGAATTCAATCCCTACTACCACAATAAAAAAGATCTGCAGACATAATAGGGCTTTTTAAAAAACCACCTGGCAATTCCCAAGCTTATTAAGACAAGTATAAGCTGGGTTTGGTAGTCCACACCTAAAATCCCAGTGACTCAGGAGCCTGAGGCAGGAGGATCTCAAGTTCAAAGCCAGTCTAGGAGGCCCTAAGCAACACAGTGAAACCCTGTCTCAAAAATAAAGCTGTCAAAATAAATAAATAAATATTAAAAAAGAAAGAATGAGCTGGGAATGTGGCTCAGTGGTTAAGTGCCTGAGTTCAATCCCTGGTACCAAAAAATACAAAGTAGAAAAAAAAAAAGATAAGTATAAAGAGTGAGAATAGCTGCGACAGAACTGAATTCTACTGTTACACCCAACAAAATCAGGGAGACTTCAGTCCTCACAGGAAAAAGATAACATCAATGGAGGAACCCAATTGTTATCCTAATAACATATACTGGATTGTACCACTGATTTGTCTTTTGACAGAGTATGCATTACCAATTATGTACCTCAGCAACAAATACTTTAATGTGAATTCCCCTAAGAATAAAAATACTTCCCAGTTTACATGAATGTAAAGAGTAGAGAAAAACATAAATTATTCCATACAACAATACCCAGATACATTCAGAAGATAACAAATGTCAAAATATAAGTGGTTTTGTCACTTCAAAATGTCTGTGTCATAAAGGGAATGTGTTAGATTAAGGAGAATTTTGTCACTGCAGTAACCAGGTGAAATGAACAATCTTGCATTGGGATGCTGATTAGAACAAACTAAACTGGGCCAAAAGGGGTAATGCAAGGACAGTTTGGGTTTTTGAGGATGCAGTAAAATTAAAATACATTAGAAAGAGAAAATAGAAAAATCAGCGACAAAGACAGATTATAAAATAGTTGAGAAAACAGTGAAACTTTGGTCAAAAGAAAAACAAGAATATCTATGTTTCTATGTACTAAGGCATTACAAGTTGTAGGGATTTGAGATTTTAATTTTTAAAAAATATTTTACTTGTGCTCACTTYGGCAACACATATACTAAAATTGGAATGATACATAAAAGATTAGCATGGCCCCTGCGCAAGGGTGACACACAAATTCATGAAGCATTCCGTATTTTTATACATAAGCCATCATAAAAATAAACCATCATAAAAATATTTTACTTCTTTTTTTCTTTTTTAAAAATATTTTTCTTTTTTTAAAAAATATTTTTTAGTTGTAGTTGGACACAATACTTTTATTTTATTTTTATGTGGTGCTGAGGATCGAATCTAGTGCCTCACACATGCTGGGCAAGTGCTCCACCACTGAACCACAACCCCAGCTCCATACTTACCTCTATTTTCTAATGAACTTTAACACACATAAAGGATTTCTTAATCAGGGTTATTAATTTTATATTCATCATGGGCTGGAGATGTGGCTCAAGCGGTAGCGCACTCGCCTGGCATGCATGCAGCCCAGGTTCGATCCTCAGCACCACATACAAACAAAGATGTTGTGTCCGCCGAAAACTAAGAAATAAATATTCTAAAAAATTCTCTCTCTCTCTCACTCTCTCTTTAAAAAAAATTCATATTCATCTAGTAAAATGGCATGAAATAAAGAAACCAAATCATCAATACAATCCAAAGTCTGAGTAGAACATTTGATCAACAATGATCTAGAACTTCATCAGTATAATCCAAATATTACAGAATTCAATTACTTTCCACTTATACTATAACTGCTTATAAAAATTGACCATTGGGCTAGGGATGTGGCTCAAATGGTAGCGAGCTTGCCTAGCATGCGTGAGGCACTGGGTTCGATTCTCAGCACCACATAAAAATGAAATAAAGATATTGTGTCCACTTAAAACTAAAAAAATAAATATTTTTAAAAAATTGACCATATAGACTGGGGATATAGCTCAGTTGGTGGAGTGCTTGCCTTGCATGCACAAGGCCCTGGGTTCGATCCCCAGCACCACCAAAAAAAAAAAAAAAAAAAAGAAAAAAAATTGACCATATACTTGGCTATAAAGTCTCATTGTATTTCAGAGGATCAAAATCATACAAGAGTATATAGCCTGACCACAAAAAAATTATGCTAAAATCAACATTATAAAGACTAGACAAAATAAAATTAGAAATTAAAGAATGCTTGTGATAAATATACTGAATAAACAGTGTCCTGTAATATGATAATAATTATGAACCTCGGAAAATGATGTTTTGAATGAATATTATAAGGCTATAGACAAAAGAAATTGTAAAATTAAAATACATTAGAAAGAGAAAATAGAGTTCATTTGTTTCTCATTGAGATGGGTTAACAGTTCTAAAATGTACACTGGGGCTGAACAAGTAAATAAATGGATGGTGGGTGGGGGAAGCCAGTTTTCTCATTATTAAAGAAGGTGGGGGGGGGGCTGGGGCTGTAGCTCAGTGGTACAGTGCCCACCTTGCACGTGTGAGGGCACAGGGTTCGATCCTCAGCACCACATAAAAATAAAGAGATTGTGTCCAAATACAACTAAAAGAAAAAAGTTTTWAAAAAGTTATAGATATGTATCCTGTGGTACTGGATGAGTTGAAGACATCAATATGAACTCAAATTTAGCTTAATATGCAAATAGATGGGCAGAGAGAAAAACCTACRTGTAAGTATGTATCACTGAGTATGCATACACGTTTTCTTTGGTAGGTCTCTAGGACGTCATAGAAGCTATGAGCATAACAGAACTCAGATCTTGATTTCTAAATACAATTTTCTAGTAAAAGGATCAGGGAAGGAAGAAAATAAGATAAATCTGAAATAGTACTAGGAAAGAAGTTCCCCTGAAATTTCAAAGAATGGGGGTTTGAAATGGCCATAGGAACCAACTGCAAAGGACTACCAATATTCAAAGCTGGAAAAATATGGGCAGCAAAATAAATAATGTAATATTTAACTATAACTTGAAATATAAAATAAATACCAGTTCACACTGATAAAAACAAATGAGAAGAAATATTTTTTTCTTATAGAACTCCAAGTAATATTAGATATTGTACCCTATAAAATGTAGTTTATATTTTTAAACAGCCAAGAATCCTCCCACTTCTTTTAATTTTTACTTTTTAGTTGTAGACGGAGAGAATGCCTTTATTTTATTTGTTTTTATGTGGTGCTCAGGATCAAACCAGTGCCTCACACATGCTAGGCAGGTGCTCAGCCACTGAGCTACACACCCAGCAGCCCTTCTCCCACTTAAAAAAATTTATTTATTTATTTATTTTAGTTGTTGATGTTATTTTATTCATTTATTTATATGCTATGCTGAGAATTGAGCCCAGTGTCTCACACATGCTAGGCAAGTACTTCACCACTGAGCCACAACCCCAGCTCCCACTTTTTACTTATTTTGACATATTCATATTTCCATAAACCTGCAAGTAAAAGATAAGCTGTTCTATAAAAGAATTTCATATATATAATATACAGAAACTATTTTAAAAGTCTGTTTGTATAATGGTACTAACAAAAAAWTAAGATAAATAATTGACTAGAAATGAAACCAACACTAAACCAGGACACAGAAGAACTGCACTTCATTTCAGGAAAAAAAATCTGAATAACTCCTACTGTGTTAGAAGAATAAAGTACATTTGTCATAGTATACATCATCATATTCCCTTAAATCATGAACTATTTAACTTTTTTTAAATGAAAAATGTTCAGGCTTAATTCTGTTTGTACATTCAGAAACAATCATATCATTGGTTACATATAATTCTCTCATGTAAAAAAGCTCAATGGTTTTCTAAGGTCTAATTAACTCAAATGAATTAACAATAGCAATTTAATTAGCACACTGTCAATAAGAGAGGTGTAGATACTGAGCAGTTGAACTTTATTTCCTGCCTATAGTATTGCTGCTACTCAAATGTTTTCATCATCTTAAGAACTAATAAGGGGATGGGGTTGTGGCTCAGTGATAGAGCTCTTCCCTAGCATGTACGAGGCCCTGGGTTCAATCCTCAGCACCACATTAAATAAATAAATAAATAAATAAAATGGAGATATTGTGTTCAACTACAACTAAAAAATATTTTTTTAAAAAAAGAATAAGAACTAATGGCCAAAATGAGACTTTCATTATTGCAGCAACGCTGTGATCCTTTAATACAATACTTACAATCGTCTGCCTGTGTGTAGAAAGGAACAGAAAACAAAAGCAGGAGGTTAAGACAGGTATGTAAACGGAACACTGATAGCTATAATTATATCTGTTTATTTATCTTAAATATTTTTTAGTTGTAGATGGACACAATACTTTTGTTTATTTTTTTAATGTGGTGCCAGGTATGGAACCCAATGCCTCACGCATGCTAGGCAAGCACTTTACCACTGAGCAACAATCCTGGCCCTATAATTATATTTACTGAAAAAAAAACTGATCTGGTCTGCTCAGTGTACCAAAACAAGCAGTTASAGCAGACATTAGTGCAAATTTAACCTGATAATTTGTTTTTTTTTTGTTTTGTTTTGTTTTTTAGTTGTAGCTAGACACAATACCTTTATTTTATTTATTTTTATGTGATGGTGAGGATCGAACCCAGGGCCTTGCATGGGCTAGGTGAGTGCTCTGCCGTGAGACACAACCCCAGCCCTGATAATTTATTTGTCGGAAAAAAGCTAGTTCTGAGGAGAAATTTTTCAATCCTTTCCTTGTAAACACAACAGGAATTTCAAAGATAAGATAGTAGGCCCCAAAATGCAACAGTAATACTTATAATCCGTCTCAAAACAAAAATCAAGTTGAAGACATCTGTTAAAATATCCTTCAGTCTGAATATATATCAGTCAATATATCTTCTTGTTTCAATCAGCTTTTGATAAAAATAAACAAAAAAACCCAACAAACTTTTCATAAGAGGTATCACATCTAGAAGTGATAAAAATAAATTAGTTCCTCTTCCCCCCAAAGATGTTGTTTAACCTCTAAGATATTATATAAATTAACCAGTGTTCTTACAAAAGTAAAAACCATTGGTTACTTAGAATAATTCCTGATATGATTCTTCAACATTCATGCTTTCTCTATCTGCAGTCTCTAACATTTCTTCATCTTCATTGTCATGTAGATCTTTTGAAATTAGTGGAGTAGCTAATTTAATATTGCGACCTTCATTGTAGTGAAGCTTCCTCTTCATTTTCGAATTGTCACTTTTTTCTCATCCTTCAGGTGAGAGGTCACTATCCTCCTCTCCATTGCTTTCTGGTTCCCCAATCCAATGCTTTAGTTCCGAGGCTTCAGCAGCAGAAAATTTCTTAGCTAAGGCATCTGGAGTCCTGGTCAGTGGTTTYGGGGTCACCTCTCATGCTATGGGAAGCAGTGCCTGGGTCATCTGTTTTCATTAAACCCTAGTCTTTGTCTGCTGGGTGATGTGTTCCCAGGATATTCATTTCATCCACTTCTGGGATTTTTCACTCAGGTCCTCTTTTACTCTCTGATGGGGCTGCTCGGCTGAGGCCACCACCGAGGGARCAGCAGACATACTGTTCTTCAGGATCCCCTTGATGGGCCACTGCRAGGTCAAGGCAGTCCAGACTGTGGAGGTCACCATTGCCGTCTTCTCCGGTGTCTGCTCAGGCTCGAAGCTGGCGTGGGGTCCAGGAAGAGAAGGTCGGTTGCTAGCAGAGACATCGGGGGAGCCCATTTTAACAGATGCACCCGCTGATGCTGTCACAACACTGGCACACCAATGTCACTGTCACGACACAATGACCCAATGCCACAGACAGTGCTGCCAGGCAGAGGGCGCCAGCCGGCCCTTTACCAATGGGCCATGGAGTCGGGCCTGCTGCCCTAGATGGGAGCAACGACGACTACCAAAATTCCCACTCTAGTGCACCTAGACCCTGGAGGAGCCAGAATTAATGAGTTGTTTCTACATTCAATTTTTTCTTTCCTCCGATATTAGACACTATCACTGAATTACATCCCCAGCCCTTTTTATTTTACTTTTTAAAATTTTCAGACAGGATCTTGCTCAATTGCCCAGGCCAGCCTTGAACTTGTGATACACCTGCCTCAGCCTTCCAAGTTGTTGGGATTATGGTATGTATCACCACACCTGACAAAATGCCT